CCCCCGGTCGCTATGTCCCTGTGGAGAGCACTGGGCTAAAAGAAAATGGTTGCCCTATCTGACTCTTTTGTGGATCACCCTTATACACCCTTTTCATAAATGGCTGCCGATTAAAAATTCTTTTATGTGCATATAAATTGGCCCAACTAGCCTCGTTTCTGGGTAGAAATTCTTTTGAAATCTTAACATGAGTACGAGGCTAGTTGGGCCAATTTATATGCACATAAAAGAATTTTTAATCGGCAGCCATTTATGAAAAGGGTGTATGATAATAATAAAATTTCTATAGCACATATACATTACTTTTTATTGCATTACTATTATCATTAATATTTGAATTTTTGTCTTTTTTGTAAGTCATGCCAAAACAGACGTTGAAATGAAAAAAATATAATAACAAGTTTATTAATCAACGATTGTACTTGTAGATTTCATTATTCAAATTTGAATCAAACAAAAGCTAAGCTGGCAAGTGCGTAGTTTATAAGGTGTTGTGTAGGGGTGTTAATTAAATGTTAGAGATGTGAAAATGAAATTTTAGTTCGTTAAATTGAAAAGGAACATCTGCAATTTTAGCCTCGCTTTGCCAAGCAAATATTGAGGATAACATCAGTTTAACGCTAGAAGTCAACATGTTTTCGCAATGTAAGAATGTATTAGATAACCTTAAGGAAAAATTTGCAATCGTTTCGCTAGTGAAAGAAAAGCTAAAAGGATGTCATTCACGACCAGGATTACTTTATGCCATTTTATCGTGTTTTTTCTTCGCCACGTCCTCCGTTTTGGTTCATATTGTTGATGAAATACACGCCGTCCAAACAGTGTTTTTCAGAAGTTTTATTCAACTCCTCTGTACCGTTCCTATGTTGATATTTCATGGCGTGAACCCCTTACCCAATCGAGAAAATGCCCGCGTGGCTGCCATGTTGTTTCTTCGCGGAGTCGCCGGCTCTACAGCGCTTTGTTTTCAATTTTACGCATTACAACATATGCCACTATCCGACGCAACTGTCATCATTTTCTCGTCGCCAATCTTTACTGCAATCCTCGCGTATTGTTTTCTTGCCGAAAGATGGAGCAAAGTAGACGCCGTATCCGCGCTGCTGTGTTTTCTTGGTGTTGTAATGATTGCACAACCGGGCAGTATTTTTGCGTCCAGCTTTCAATCGAAACAGCATTTCGTTTACTGCATCGTGGCACTAACTGGCGCGGTTTTAACCTCTATCAGCATCATTGCTCTGAAGAAACTGCATTCTGTTCATTACGTCATATCTTCATTTTATCTTGCCTTGGTTGGTGTCATTGGAACTGGTTTGGTATGTCTCATTCCTGGGGTATTTCGTCCAGTTATCTGTGGTCATCAGTTGTACATTGTTCTTATTGGATTATGTGCAGTAGGTAAGTCGAGTCAGTATACAGGGTGTCTAAAAATCTGACTCTTTAGAAATCACCTTTTTGTTGTAAAACCTTGTAAACACTAAAACCTCTAGGAGTTTAGAATGCATTGTAATCGTACGGGTATCTTAAAACTGCATAAATTGTACATGAAAATTCTAAAATCTCGGCTTTTTAAATCCCAAGAACCGGCCTCGGATCGCTTTGAGATCGCTCTAATTTAGATCGACCTCAATAAGACAATATGTGCTTAGTGTGAACGGCCCTTATACAAGTTTTAGACCTAATCAGGAAAAGCTGCGAAAAATACAACTATAGGCCCCCAGCAGGGAAAAAAACCCTTTGTTCCATCTCCAAAAAAACCCCTATGTTCCATCTACGAGACAACTATAACAAGACTTTTGGGCATTTCACTCGATAGAACTAAATGTAGATGGGCTTTTAGTCAGGGATAGATTGACGGGGGAGAGGTGCGCGTCCTGCCTAGGCTTGACAAAGGGGGTACAAGCAGGGTGCCAATTTCCTTTTCAAATCCATTTTTTATTTGGAAAGGCAATAACCTTGCCTAAGTATCCTTTCGCTTCTCTTTCGAGAAGCCTGTAGCTTCCTCCAAGTGCTTATGCACATGTTCAATGGTAACCCACAAACATGACCAAGGCTCAATGAGAACCCCCCCACCCCACCAACACCTGCCAGATCTGTTTTTATAGTAGAGGGAATCGTAGGGCTGCAGGTTTGATTCGTGCCGTAGGGCATATTAAAGTTGTATTTTTCGCAACTGCTCCGGTCAGGTCGGCTAAAATGGTGCATCATTTCCGCTCAAAATTTCCATACTGCAAATACCCATTCTTAACAATTAGGGGTAGACTAGGCCTGGTTTTACAGCGTGCTATGAGCGCACCGGACCAATGCTTAGCCAATTAGTTCGGTCTTAGCAGGCTGTATAAATCACATTGGTCGCATGTTGATTTATACCATAGCGCCGGCAACAAACCAAATTACACTAAATTGTATATAATCTATTTCGCCGCGTAACCAGGCTCTTTAGCTCTACCTTAAAATTGGTTCGCTCCAATGGTTCGCTCAGATACGTCACGTGTACTGTAAATCAGAATGCGTTCTATTAACGTGTCTGGCGTGCCAATTTGAAAATTGGTTCGCTGCGCTCATAGCACGCTCTGTAAATCAGGAGACCCTGTATTTCTCTTTTGTTAGTATTCTACGCAATACATTTTCTAATTTAGTCCATTTACTGTTTTCCAGGAGGTCAATGCTTGTTATGCAAATCATTGAGTACGGAGAAAGCAAGTACAGTTGCATTAGTTCGTACTTTTGATATTGTGCTGGCCTTTGTATTTCAGTTGATGTTCTTTGATCATCAACCCAATATTTTTAGTATTTCTGGTGCTATACTTGTATCCATGTGTAACATAGTGATCCTAAGTACTGCTAGATGTCCCTCAGAAACACATGACGACCACAAACTTCCCAAAACCAATTGATGATATAATAAAAGGATTAAAAATGAACGATGTCGAGTTGCCTTGATAAAATTACAACGAAATGTATGTGTTAATGTTAAATTAAACTTGGTCATGATATAAAGACAACGTAATATATAGCAATAATATATATACCGGGTGTCCCCCCAAAAAACTGGACACTGTTTAATTTCATGGAACGTAAAGGCTATAAAAGCTGTCGCAATGAAATAAAGATCATTGCATTCAAACAGGACTAACTTAGATTTTGATATTATATAGCATTTGAACTACATCAGTAACATGCAATATTGACTGCGTTATTGATGTTTGAACGTTGAACTATACTGTTTTTGAAAATGCCAAAAATTAGCATAAAAAACCTTTATAATCACCGATGTTATTATACTTGTTAATTAAATAATAAATATTTTTATTTTGGTTGTATATTGCTCAATATTGCATGTAAATTCAAGTACTACAGACCCATTGCACATGACGTCGCAGCGCCAGTGACGATGCATCTGGAGGACAAATGAGCAATCTATGCATAATATAACTTTTGTGAACAAAGCAAATTTTGTAAAACTTTATAATAATTTTGTATTAAAATGGTTAATTTTTGCGCTGTATGTGGTTGGTGTACCCGAACAGATATTGTTAGGGAGCGTTCTTGAGGAATCTTTTACAGGGTTTTTACATAGTGAATTTGCTCAAAGTTTCACATGGTTTTCCCAGGGTTATTACAGCCTTTCCGATAAAAGTGTAGATATTTACATGGAATTGACACAGATTTTACATACAATTCAAAAATTTACATACCATGTCAATGTACATTTTTGTTGGAAATTTGGTTTTACTGTAAATTTGCAGTAAAGTTACATCATTTTTGCAAAGTATGTAAATCAAATCTTTTTTCCAGTGAATTTCTAAGGATTTGTGACGTCAGTGCAATGGGTCTATATATCAAATATATATCTCATATAAATCTATATATTTCATTGCAATATAGCTTTTATAGCGTTTACGTTCCATGAAATCAATGGTATCCTGTTTTTTGGGGACACCCGGTAGTGAATAGAAAATTAATTTTAATCAGGAAATTTAACTCATAATTTTTAATCGTGAATATAACTTTCTAATATTCTTCATTATTAAAGTATAATGTAACTATATCCTAAATCCTTTATAACATAACCTACAACCTCGTACCCATGGCTAGCCCTGGGTGCGATGTTTCTTGTGACCCTGTCGAGTCTCCTACGCAATTACCACCCGTTAGCGGTCAAGTATTTTCAGAGATTTCCCTCGCGCCTTTCGAAGTGGCATCCTCACTTCGTTCACTTAATCTCAGCAAAGCATCAGGACCTCGTGGAATTACTGCAAGGCTTTTGACTGAGACATCTGAAATCGATAACTTTACTGTTTAACAAATCACTAGGGGTAGGTGTATTTCCAGACGAGTGGAAGCTGGCGAATATCGTCCGGTATATACAAGAAAGACGACAGACAATATGTGAAAACTATCGGCCAATATCTCTACTTACCATCATCTCAAAAGTTCTAGAACGGTGCGTTCTTGTCCGACTGCGTCGCCACCTCTTGGAAATTTTAGATTGTAGATTGTAGATTGTACGCAACACGGATTTATTCCTGGCAAATCCTGTATCCTTAACCTACCATTCTACAGCGAAGTACCCTACAAAGAACGTTTAATAGCCTCCAACTTACCACCAATTAGTTTCTGGCACGAATATTTAGATTTGGTACATTTTTTCAAAATGATTAATGGTTTTATTTATTTATTTATACAACTTCTCCATTTAATAATTTTACACAATACAAATACAAATACAAATACAATACAAAAACAATACAATACAAATCAAAACGATACAATCAGACAGTACAGTATATATATATATATATATATATATATATATATACATATATATATATATATATACATATATATATATATATATA